CCCTCTCTCTGTTGCCTCCCAGACACTGTCAGTTGTTGGATTCGCTTCATTTGTTGTCCACCTCTCAGGAGCCACAGTCCTGTGAAATCTGTTGTCCAGTGTGTAAAAAAAAAGTTGTTTCATATATTTTATCTGGTTTTCTAAGTGTTTACTGTGGGAAGGCAATTCCCATAGCAGTTTCTTCTTTATGGGAAAAGCTCTACCAACTACAAGACAACTTTTTAATAGATAGATTTTAATGGCTAGAATTAATGTATAGAAAAGTACAGGCTATTTTATGGAGAAATATGGGGATTTGAACATCAAGAGCCTGTAAAAAGTCATATTAAATTTAGGAGTAATATAGCTGATACAGTGTCAGTTTTTTTTTATCCTAATCACTGGGGAGAATTCTATAATTTCTGTCAAGCTCTGCTGTGCATGGCCTTGGCTCTGCTATTCAAGACTTCACCCCTAGAGACTTTGTGGGATAAGGAGCAGAGATAGTATTTGGTTGCTCTTGGAGGGGCCTGACAAACACTGTGATTATACGACTTACTGTTACCCTCTCTGACACAATTGTCTCCACTCACTTTTTCAAATAGTCAACATTTTCTGAAACAATTCAACTCTTTCTTCTCAATAATTGAGCTATTCACCACCTCACTAACTTCTTGTATGTGAATTTCTGAGAATGTGTGCCAACTTAGGAGTTGAATGCCTAGTATCCTGGTATGTAAAGTTCTTATTCTGGATATCTATAAACTTAAAGGACACTAAGTACTCAAAGCTCCACACAAGTGAGTTCAATCTGTCTGAGGGGACCTTTCAAGTCAAAGATGCATCCTCCAGGACTTTTGTTCAGGTGGATGAACAATAGAGTCTCCCAGAACTGATTTGAATTTAAGATGGTCATTACTTTTAGGATCCACAGTCTACCAGGGTTTCCCAACCTTGATACTGTTAACTTTTGGGACCAGATAATTATTTGTTATTTGGGCATTGTAGGCTGTTTAACAGCATCTCTGGCTTCTATCCACTAGATGTCAGTAGCATCCTCCTCCCAGTTATGACAACCACAAATGTCTCCAGACATTGCCAAATATCCCCTAGAGCAGAAAAAAAAAAAAAACCTCACTGCCATTGAGAAGATTCGGACTCATGGCAACTTTATATAGAGTTCCAGAGATGGTAAATCTTTATACAAGCAGACAGCCTCTTGTTTCTCTTACAGAGAGCAGTTATTGGGTTTAAATTGTGGTTAGCAGCACAATGCTTAACCCATAGCACCATGAAAGTTCCTTAAATATTCCCTGTTGTTGTTATTAAGTGTTGTCAATTCAGTTCTGACTCACAGCAACCCTGTCTAGGGTTTCCAAGCAGTAGTTGATGAGTCTGAACAGCTGACCTTGCTTATCCTACAATGCCACACCAGCACTTCCTTTGTTGTTAGGTGCCTTGAGTTGGTGCTGAATCATAGCATCACTTGTTGTTGTTAGGTGCCATCAAGTGGGTACCGACTCATAGTGATCTTATGCATAGCAGAATGAAACACTACCCGATCCTGGGCCAACCTCACTATTGTTTCCACACTTGAGTCCATCGATGCTGCCACTTGGCCAGTCCATCTCATTGGGGCTCTTCCTCTTGTTCTCTGACCCTCTACCTTACCAAACATGATATCCTTCTCCAGTGACAATATGTACCTCTCCTGACAATATGTCCAAAGTAGGAGAGATGAAGTTTGGCCATCTTGGCCTCCAAGGAGTCTTCTGGCTGCACTTCTTCCAAAATGGATCTATTGGTTCTTTTGGCAGCCCGTGGCACTTTCAGTATCCTCCTCCAATACCATAACTTAAATTGCTCTGATTGAGAGCTATGATGTAGATGCTCTGTGGTATACTATAGGCAGGGGACTCCCTGTACTACAGCTCTCAGTATTAAATGTGAATAAATGCAATAGGTCATTTGATACCTCCTTGGGAGAGGTCAGTCTGCCCCATGTACGAAGGACATTGACCTTGAAATGTAAACTCCTGAATTAAGTCCTAACTTGGTAGATTTAAGGCAAGACTCTCTAGTTCTCTTTATTCAGTTTCCCTATTTGAAAATAAGGAATGATATTGTTTATCTCAAATAGCACTTGTAGTGGAAATTAAACGAGGTTTTACACACACACATACACACATACTTACATGGGCTTCAGATAGCTTGTGGAAAAATTCCATTATCATTTCATTCCATTTTCCCCTGAACGTTTTGAAGCCCCCTTGTATTTACACATGCAACATATATGTACTCCCATATGATATAAGAATACATAAACGTGAACTTAATTATGGTCTAGACATAAGTGTACTTATTTGGCAGTATGGAGTGCAGTGGCTCTGGAGGTTAAACACTGGACTGTGAACCAAAAAGTCAGTGGCTTGAGCCCACCCGATGCTCTGTGGGAGAAAGATGAGACTTTACGCTCCTGCAAAAAATTACAGTCTTGGAAATCCTACGTAGAGTTGCTATGAATTGGAACTGACATGATGACACTTAGAAACAACAGTAACAATTTCCCAGTCTGATTAAAAGTGCAATATAGAGAAAAATGTCCTGTCTTCCAGGCCATCATATATGTGTAATACAGTCCTCTCTGTGGTTTGAATTTTGCTTTATGCTAAAAGACACGTTATGGGGATGTGTAGCTTTTTTTTTAAAGTCATTTAAGAATTTAAAATTTCAACTAAATTATGATGCAAATAGTTAGATTTTTTGTATATACTTCTTTAATTTTCCATTCAGTGTTTGTGGGCAGATTGCACAAGAATTTAAATGTCTTGATAGGAGACAGTAGCTGTTAATTCTCTTGGGATTTCAGTGTAATGAATCTGGTAAATAATTCAAGAACATATGAGAGGCTAATGAACAGGCTGCACCTGGTGCTGTATTGTTCATGTCCAAGTGCGCAGAATCCAATGATGGCATTCTACACCTGTCACTATTGTTTTGTCTAAAACATGGGTCGTGTGTTCAGTGGCTGTTGAAATAATACTAATTGATACTTATGTCCTCTTCCAATTTTCTTCCACAATCAAAGAACACCAAGCTAAGCTGTCTCAAAAACACAAAGCAGAAGTGGCATCCTCTTTTAAATTCCCATTGGTAAAATTTCAAATCTAATTTTTCTATTAAGGAATGGATTGCTTTATGGAATTGGAGACATGTCTACTGCTGCTATTTGAACCTTCCTTTCCATTTTTGTTATGCAAAGTTGGGTTTCTTTTCAGATAACATTAGTCATATTGCAGGCATCTTCTAAGATAAATAGTTCCAGAGCCCTGCCGTATACTCACTCACTCTGTGGGAATGTCTAGAGCCCCTCACTTTCTCTCTCTATCGCTTGAGTAGCCTACCCCTTTCTATTAGACTAACAGGTAAAACCAAACAAAAAATCCTTGGCAAAGGATATCCTTCTGTGACCCCAGCTGACTAACCATAGAATGTTTCTCCACTCACGAGAGAAATAAGAGCTAAAAGGACTTGTGCCAGGCATACAGACAGCACGGAGTACCTGAACACAGTGCTTAAGCTCAGGATCAAGCAGAGAGAGCTTAGATCATGAGTTGCATGAAAAAATGTTGGAAGGTTTTCCTAGCAGGGAAAAAAGAAAGTTGTGCCTCGTAAATCTCAACAAAAGATTTTACAGTGCTGAGTCATAAAAGGATCTGTAAATTGTTAGATGTGCTTTGTTCTTGTTTTTAAGGTTTTGTTTATTATAGGAGTTTAAATGCATATTTATATTATATTGTATATCTCTCTTTATATGAGGGGGGCTTCAAAAACTTTGTGAAAAAATCCATTATCTCTTAATTCCATTTGTCTGTGAACTTAATTCCATTTGTCTGTGAACTTTTTTAAGCCCTTCTGTATATGCATATTTATATTGTATATGTATAAAATAGATGTTTATTATTTTCATAGGTAATTCATGTATAGTTTAAGCTTCTGCAGTGAAGGCACTTGAAAAAGCTGATGAAACATTACATTATCTTCTCATTCAATTTTTTCATGAACTTTTAAAAGTCTCTTCATACATAAAATGGGACTCCTGGTGTGGTACTATATAAGGTCAGCACTGGACTGTGAACCACAATGTTGGCAGTGCAAAGTCACGCCGCTGCTCCTTGGAAAGCCTATACAGGGTCACTATGAGTCGGAACCGATTCGATGGCACTTAGCAACAACATTTATTAAAGTATATGACTTTACATAATAAAAATATAACTGTGTATAATTAAAGTACATAAAATATGTGGTGCTGTGCGATGAAACACTCGACCTCAAGGTTGGTTTTGAATCACAGGGTTGGCAGTTCAAACTCACCAACCTCTTCTCAGAAACCCTACACAGTATCTCTATGAGTCAGAACCAACTTGATGGCTCTTTACAGCAACAACTAATACATTGTTAAGGAGCCCTAGTAGCGTAGTGGGTTACACGTTGGGCTGCTAACTGCAAAGTTAGCAGTTTGAATCCACCAGGCACTCCGTGGGAGAAAGAGGAGGCTTTCTTACTGCTTCCATAAAAACTTAATAGTCTCAGAAAGTTTACACAGGGTCACCATGAATAGTTGAGTATATATCAATTTGTTTATAGGTTTAATTGCTTTCCTTTCCTTCAGGGACCAGTGTGAGAGTACTTGGAGCAGTGACTGCCATCTGGTGGCAAGCCAGAAGCATCCTTTTGGGTAACCTGCTGGTTTCTAAGATGCCTTGACTCACACATGGTGCACACTGGCAGCAGGGGACCAGAAGACCCTGGACGGTGTCTGCTGAAGGAACCTATGCAGTAATCTTTCATCTTCTCCTGAATGGGTTTTTCATCTCGGATTCTGAGCCAGGAGTCTGCTCTAACATGAGGCCTCTGAAGAAAAGGTTTGAGTTGCTTTTGTGGTTTAATCAAAGATCTGCGTACCTACCAGTGGGTAGCCAAGACTGAATAATCGCACACCAAGAGGGGCATGTGGTAACATGGAGCCTGAAATAAACTGCTCTGAATTTTGTGACAATTTTCCTGGCCAGGAGCTGGATCGGAGACCTTTTCAGGATCTCTGCAGAACAACAGTTGTAAGTGAGCAGCCCTGGAGTAGCAGAGCTTCTTAGATATACTAGTTGGTGTGGGGGTGAGAGGGGGCGCGGGGGGTGGTATTGGGGGAGCAGGGGTTGTGAGAAGGAACAAGAGGAGAAACAATGGGTACTCCTCATCCAGGATATTTATTTCCAGCTTTGGTGATGATGGGCCATTCATGTTTCATCTTAGAAGTTTGTTCTTTCCTAATACTTTCACCATACTCTATTCTCAGACCTCTTCCGACAGCAGTCAGACTATTTCTCCAGTGTCTCCTGTCCTCTTGGGTATTATCTGGACTTTTCTCAGCAGTGGACTTCTTCTGATACTCTTCTTTCTTGCCTTCACAATTCGCTGCAGAAAAAACAGGTAAGTCCAGTTTCTCATCTCCCCTCGTGTGATTTGTGAACCCCAGGTTCTGATATTATTTTAGCATCACAAATTGCTGGCAGGTACCAGCAGAGTTTGTCTCCTGTTATGGGATTATGCCACCTGAGCAGTTTCCCCTGAAATCATTCTGGCCTTGCAGTACAGTTCCCCCCTTTGGATACAGTATCTAACAAGATATACACATCCCATGAAGATGTGTATAAGCCTTCTGAAGATATTTTTATTGAAAACAGAGGGCATGTTGTGAAAACTTTCAAAGCATCATAAAAGTTCTTGGAAGGCACAGTGGAACAAGTTCCGGAAATTGAGGTTTCTGCAAAATCCATGAAGCTCTACTAGGTGACTATTCTGGTGAGAGAGTCTCTGGCTCATCAGAGTAAGTGTCTGTGACTCCCAGAACTGCCCAAAGAAGCAAGACTGACTTTTTATCAAGGGAGTTGTAGTATCTTGCCTCTGCAACTAGTTGATCCATCCCTCAGGGCCCATCCCATCTCTCCAACCCCAGCTGTATCCTCATATTGCCTAACTGCTTCTGAGAAGTCCTTCTCCAGCCACTTGTCTCTGCCCGAAGCTGACAGCCCTGGATTTCAACAACTCCCTTAGAGAGGCCAAATGAATCCAGCCCCAGTCCAGCCTTACATTTTGTGATGATCAGGTGAACTGCTATGGCCCATTGCCTAGGTTAGGCACTCATAATGGTCAGTTGGATTTGGGTTGGGATTGGCCATTTGAAACATAGAGTACATTGAATTTTAAGCAGTTGCATTTGGGGTGTGATTGGCCATATGAAGCATAGAGTACATTGAATTTTAAGAACAGTGACTTAGTCTTCAGGGTCATCCTCCACTTGCAGTGATATGTGACACTCTGTCTTGAGTATACCCTTGAGACTCCCCCAGCCACAAACACCAAGCACACTCCCCGATTGAAGCCTTTGCACTTACTATCCCCTTACTGTTTCCTTTTGCCTCATAAACCACCCTAGATATCCCATGACTAGTTCTTTCTCATCTTATAGGTCTTGGCCCAATTGTCACCTCTTCAAAGAGTATTTCCCTAATAATGGTAGCTTCTAAAGTAGCTTTCATTGCCCAGTAACCACCTAGCCCCCTGTCTCATTCATAGACCATCACCCGGTTTTCTTTTCAACAATGACATAAATAATTTATTGATTTACCTGTTTATTGTCTGTGCCCCCCACCAGAATGTAAGAGAGACCTTGTCTGCCATTCTCACTACTCTGTCTCAAGCCTTTAGAACAGACTCTGGAGCATAATAGTTGCTCAGTAAATATTTGTTGAGTGATTCTGCAGGAAGGAGATTTAAATCCCAATAGTGGTTACTGCCAAGAAAAGTCATGCATTTTAAGGTCAGAGAACTATGGGGCATATTTTGCAATATATTCTATAATGCAAATAAATGCCTGATAAGAAAATGATGTCATTTTTATCCCAGCAAACCAACACTTGGAAGCATTCAGTGGCAAACTTTTTTCTACATAAAGAAGGAAACTTTATATAAGTATAGGTCATAAGATATAAACTTCCTAATAGTACTTATTTGCACATATTGCTGCCGTGTCTTCCCCAGGACTTCGAACTGGTTCAGTCATGGCTCATGAAACAAAATCAGAACAGACTGATTTTTTAAAAAATTTGGGTTAAGCAGAACAATATTCAGAACAGTCAAAGGCCTGGAATGGGAAACTTAGAAGAGGCATAGTGAATCCTTTCAGGAGCCTACTGTGAGAAAATGGATTATTGCCGGGACAGCACATTCAAAGCTGTGTGGTCCACTGCCATCTTTGAATGGAGCACTGCTGTTTCTGACTGTCGATCAGGAGATTTGGCTGCAGTGTTATACACACACTACCCTTATTGTCTAAGAGGGAAAGGAAGTTTCTAGCAGGGAGATGACCCATACATTTTCCCATTCCAGTCACTCACATTTTACAAATTTGAGTCTGTTCTGGTTTTGCTTTGTTGGCCATGACTAAACTGGAAAGAACTGGTACAAACTCCTGGTCTTCCCGTAGTGCAACTACTAGCTGGTTTAATAGCGTCAAGAGCTATGTTGTCCTACCTACAACATAAAGCTATGTAGTGAAACTGTTAGAGTATCCAAAGAGATGTTTCCCTTGTGCTTAAAAGCAATTGACTGTTGAAGGAAGCACAGAGGCAGAATAGATTTTAAATTTTGATGGCACTGCTTTCAGTTGGAGGTGGTGGTGGGTAGATGCACCCAAAAGCCTACATCTTGAGATTTAAGGCTACAAAAATTGTCTGTGATAAATAAGTAAGCCAGACTTCTCTGGATACCAGGAGTCCTGATGTGGCACTGTAGGTTAAGCACTGGAATACTAACCACAAGTTCAGTGGTTCAAACCCATCAGCTACTCCTCTGAAACCCTCTACAGAATCGCTATGAGTTAGAACTGACTCGATGGTATTCCTCCCCATGGTACTGGAATGCTATTATTTTAGTTGGGATAATTAATATTTTTATTAATACTATGGTTACAAAGTTAAAAGCATTTTGAGTGTTAGGGCCTCATACTATTTTCCCATAATCCCTGATCTTTTTATACACAGAGTTTATAGGATACAAGGGTTTTCATGAGTTTATATATTCTGATAAAATGGAAACACATATAAATAGCATTATTTATAATGCTATTGTTATTTTAAAAATCTGTGTTTTGTATTAAAGGTGTTGCTGCTTGTCTTCTTTGCAGTGGAAGCATGAGTTGGCATAAAGAGTGAAATACTAAGAAGCACTGTAAATTAAAATGTATTTTACAGTTAAGAAACTTATAAAGTCAGATAAGGAAGGGTGTATAACCCAGTTTCAAAGGTGTTTTATTGGGCTATAGTATTTCAAAGGTGCAGCATTATGTTGAGATCCTTCCGTTCCTTCTAGTTCTGTGATTTCTATATTTGTAACTGTGTGCATATGTGCTTGCACTTGCCTGCATGTAAACACATGTGCTTGGGTACCTGTGGAAGGGAGATACTGGTGGGATGGATCACTGAACATTTAGCCAGAAAGGAAAAAAATATTTTAATGAAATGAAAATAATACAATTGTCAAAACATGGAAACAACCCAAGTATCCATCAACAAATGAAGGAATAAACAAAATATGGTCCATATATACATTTAAATACTATTCAATCATAAATTGAAATGAAGTTCTGCTATATGGTTTTTTTTAACACCAATTGCAATTTTGAGAGTTCCCAAGACTATGCTCAGGCTTGATAATTCATAGAACAACTCACTGAACTCACTGAAAACTGTTATACTCACAATTTAATTTAGCCATACTGAAAGCATACAGATTAAAATCAACCAAGGGAATAGGTGCATGGGGAAGGAAGCAAAAGAGTTCTAAGTACAAATTTCTAGCTGCGTCTTCCAGTGCAGTCATGGACAGCGATCACTTCTCCTAGTAATAATGTGTGACAACATGCATGAAGATAATGTTTACCAGGGAAGCGCATGCAAGCCTTGGTGTCCAGAGTTTTATTGGGATTCAGTCACATAGACATGGTTGACCATCTTCATAATGACCTCGGTCCCCAGTCCTCCCAGAGTCAAGATGATGCCATGTAGTCCAAAGGACCCATCACAAATCACACTGTTGGCATAGACTACCTGGCATGGCCCAAGACCCTAGGGTAAACAAAGATGCTCTTATCAGCCAGGACATTCCAAATGTTTAGAGATCACCTCCTAGGAACTGAGGGCAAAAGCCAGACTTCACTGTGGGTAAGAATATCTAGATTATTATTGATCTTTGACCAAGACTCACTGACAACAAAAATAACGTATTTGCCTGAACATCTACATTTAGTATAGCACTTATATGACAAACATTAGCAATAGTACAGATATGCCTAACATTTAGAGGAACCAGTGTGGGGTAGAGATAGATTTAAAGAAACAACTCATCCATCCTCTAAAGCCATTACATACATTTTCATATTTTGTACTAATTTGATTACTCGTTTTTCTCCTTGCTATACCACTATTTCTGCATTATTAGAAACTTGTACAGAACTATTTAGCATAGAAGTGAACTAATATTTAGCTAAATCTAACTGACTCACCACCACCACCACAAAGGAACTCGGGTGGCACAATGGCTAAAGTGCTTGGCTACTAACTGAAAGGTAAACAGTTGGACCCTACTGGTGCTCTGCAGGAAAAAGATGTGACTGTCTGTTTCCATAGAAATTACAGCCTTGGAAACAGTATGGGGCAGTTCTCCTTTGTTCTCTAGGGTTGCTGTGAGTTGGAATTGACTTGATGGCAATGAGTTTTTGGTTCGTTTGTTTGTTTTGCTTTAGTTAAATCTACTTCTTCCTTGTTGTTGTCGATAGGTGCCATTGAGTCTATTTTTGACTCATAGTCACCTCATGTGACTGAGTAGAACTGCCCCTTAGGGTTTTCTAGGTGTTGTGGGTTAGACTTTGGTTTACTTACTGAAAGGTTGGCCATTCAAAACTACCAGCTGCTCCTTGGGAGAAAGATGAGGCTACCTGCTCCTGTAAAGATTTATAGGCTTAGAAACCCTATACAGGGTCTCTGTGAGTCAGAATTGACTTGATGAGATTGGGTTTGGGGGGATCTTTAAGAAAGCACATTAACAATCTTTCTCCCTAAGAACATCTAGATGGATTTGAACAGTCAACCTTTTGGTTACAGCCACTTGCTTAACTGTTGCACTACCAGGTCTTAGTGCTTCCTTCTTATTGTTGTTGTTGTTGTTAAGTGCTGTTCTGACCCATAATGACCCTGTATAGGGTTTCCAAGGAGCAGCTGGTGAGCTTGAACCGCTGACTTCGCAATTCAAACCGACTTTGCTGTCCAGCGTGTTAACCCACAGTGCCACACCAGGACTCCTAGTACTTCCTTAGGCTAATCATTTTCCATTAGTATTACATTATAAGGAGGCTTTAACTCATTCTTCCATTT